GTTCATGCCAGTTTGGCTATCGTAGTAGCCATACTCGACTACGAGAACGGTGTCTTCTCCGCATTAGATTGAAGCTTTGTGCGATACAAGACACATTGGAAACTGACATTTGCCGTCCTCTGTGAGTCGATCGCCGACTGTCAGGCCAGACGTGCCACCGCCGACAATGACATAGTCGTATTCGGTGGCAAGCTGCTCCGCTCGGGTGAGTATCTGGACGTGTTCGGGATGCTGGGTTGGCCACGCTGATGTGAGATGCGTGGCAACGCTCAGGCAGTATAATGTGAAGTTTCTGATGGAAGGCATTTTTAGCCTTTGGGAAGAAGAAAGAACTGTGCAAAAAGGGAATTGACGTAGGTATGGAGACAAAAGGCAGAGAACCGGGAAAGATGGGCATCTTATAACTTCAATACTTGAGTTGCGCTGTTAAAACTTCACCGTTTCAAGAAAATAGTCCACGCTGTACGACCTGGAGTCCCAGATACAGTCCCGCTGGAGATGTTGAACTACCAGACCTGGCCGGGCGTGAGTCGTACCATTCCGGAGGAATCACCTTCCTTGGTTCTATCAATGTCTCACACGAGCCAGGAGTACCACGATTATCCCATTGGCTCTATCTACGTGGTTCATTAAGCTTATAATAGGCTCAAGGGAGGCAAGTGAGCAACATGCGGGGAGCGAATCGGCAGTGCGCACCAGAGTCGTATGAGCCGCAGCCCCTAATATACAAAGTGCGGGGACAAGCACTGAAGAGGGACCTAATAGGCGCCGCTCAACCTCAATCGGGTATATAGACTTGCCACGTTGCAGCCAAGAGCCGGATCCTATCGACGACTTCATATCGTTCCTGATTGAATCCGGTTGCCAAGGCCGGATCAAAGCAGAACCTAGAGTCATGAGCTACCGGACTGGTCTCATTTTGCCTAGAGCGAGGTGTCGGCTAAGTGAACAGAGTCTGGCAGATCGAGAAGTATCATCATTGGATGTATGACTTGGTACTTTGATGAGGCAGGAGAGACAGGCGTGATACTTTATGATTTCAGAGACTCTTGGCAGGAATTAGTTTCGAGCAGCATCCTCAGGCACCTCGAATAAAATCAAGAATGGGTCAGGAACAAAGCCTATGAACCCAAACATGATAATGTTGAGATTCAACTAAGATATTAATTCTAGAGCCAGCGTAGAAGGTATACGTGAGGTTCTCGAGGTGATGTAAGTGCTTCAAGTGTATAGGTATACAGCAGCCGGGTTTCCTCATAAATCGTTATCAATATTGAAATTCGTTGAAAACACCATCCCTCTCCTGATTACTACAGCCAGCCCTGGATCTACACTATTTCTGCTGCAGTGAATTTATGGCCGCATTTATCAGGCGAGTGGAAGAGTACGCCGTGGAAATGGCTTGGATGCCGCTTGACGATATCAAAAAGCACACGTGCGCCTTTCGCCTCATCCTTATCGGAGCGATGGGGGACTCTCATGTAATTCTTGAAGGTCCGACTCCCAACCGCGTGTCTTAACTTGCCGAAAAAGTCCCGGACGAATTTCTTCCACTCGGGTTGTCGTGGTAAGTTGTCAGGTGGAAGCCAGAACTCATCAGACACCAGTTTGGACTGAATATCGCGCCACTGGGGAGGAGTTCCGGGCGCGAAACGGAGAAGATGTCTCATCTGGTAGTGACACCACTCTGAATGCCAGAAGGGAACTTGGTGCTCTGGCGCGGCGATTTGTCGGATAGTCTTGAGGTTTGAGAGTGTTGCTTTATTAGTCCACATCCAGAAACATGTGTTTGTGACATGGTGCGGGCGTCGCGCTACGAAAGGCTTCGTGTCGACGACGATGTTCTGGATGTTTTGCATCCAGCCGATGCTTTCTGTGACACATGTGCGGAAGCGCACCTTGACGTGGACAAAATCGATGTCCCAGTTGATGGTAACATTCTCTCCCATTTTTGATGCCAAATCTTTCGGTGGAGGGATCGCCATCCAGGGGCCTTCCTCGCCTTCCTCAAGCTCGTCCTTGGTGAATGCTGGAAACCAGAACGGCGACCTGACGCTTTGGGCCACGGATCTCGACAAAGAATCGATCTTCAGGTCGATGGAGTCGTAGTAGCCATCCGAGTACTCTGCATCCTGTCTGGACAGAATCCAAAACACCGTACGATGTGTTGGTTTCTCCGTTTCCTCGTTTTCTTTATTGCATGAGTTTGAGCCGTTGCTTGATGGCCGGATGAGCGAATCAGTGGAGTCGCGGCCCTCCACGTTGTCTAACTCATCATCTACTTGGTCGAATCCTAGCTCGTCGAATGGATCATCGATGGCTCTATCCCTGATAGCCCCATTCTCAACCGTCCCATTCTCTGCGGTTCTATCCTCAGCTTCTCCATCATCAGCAGCTTCATCCTCCGAAGATTCCTCTTCGGAACCATACTCATCGGATAGATACTCGTCATATGGTTGCCCCTTGGGAGTATTGATATGTAGGGCGTCGGATTGCGGAGTGCTGTTCTTTGAAGAATTACCCTCCGGGGTCATCTTCTTGGAAGCATCCTCTTCGGCCGTTTCCTCTTCGCAAGGCTCTTCGCCGGACAATTCCTCATCGCAAGGTTCGAGGCCCCAGTCGTAATCCTTGCCTTCTATCTCATCGTCTTTTGGATGAAGCTCTGCGATGTAGTATCTAGGTTCCAAGTAAAACTCGCGCCAAATCTTGGACTTGATCTTGTCAGGTAACTTCGCGAATTGGTGAAAAGTCGAATCTGGGATGGGCACAAGTTTGTATAATTGTGGTTTCTTTTGAAGCCTTCTCACGAGTCTGGCGCGTTTGGACTTGATCTTTATGGGAACCTCCGCGAACCTGTGATGATTCGGATCTGGAGGCGGACTTGAAAGGGGCATAAGCTCGTATGTGTCTTGATGCTCATCACCTTTCCTGTAGGGAAGGACGCATTTCGCCGGTTTCTTCAAGTCTTGGTTGCGCATTTTTCTGAAGGGGAGCGGCGGAGTGGGAGTAGCTTAGTTGGAAATCGTGTATGAATGCAGCATTGCAGGAACGCGCACGGCTGGATGTATCGTAGGGTAGAAACGACGTTGATTGCTAGCTGCAGTCAACGGTGCGATTTTTGAGACAGAATGTAAAGACGTTGAAACATTGGTTTTCTATTTTCCTGACCAGCCGCAAGGGACATGGGTATTGGTTCTCACTACCCTTCTGGTCCCTGAACGGAAGGTTTTACCAGCCAGGTTACATAGTTTTTCGAATTTTTTAATGCGCGGCTTTTCGACTTAATAAGACATCAGGGTCTTGTCCAATTTACATGTACTCACGAAGTCAAGAATCGTCGGAATGACAAATTTACTCTCCAGGAAAGGGAACAAATGACCTAGAAGGGCTGTTGACATCACCCAACGGTATGCGAAATCTGTATTTAGTAAGTTTCGATCAGTTTAACCTATTACATATATGAACAGGATCTGCTTGAAATACTATGACATAAATCCTCATATCCTTCTTCTTGAATGCTTAGGATCGACGCCTAAGCTACCACACTCGTAACATCGAGAAGAGATAATCAAACCCGAGCATGAGGTTGCACACTAGAGCCAGACGAAACGACAATTAGGTTAGAAGAGCACCATATTTAACGCCTCATAAGTGCCATTTTAGGCCATAACCCCGTCTTGACCGAGGCTTCAGAATTGGGCATAGTACACCAACATCCATGAAATGAATCCACCAAAGAAAAGTGCATCATAACTCAGCTCTCCTCATTGGAACTTGAAACCTGCAGGTTCCTTAGGTCATGTCGTCATCTGAAGATGACTCCCCAGACTCTGAAGATGAGTCTCCCGATGTGCAAGAGTTACCCGACGTAGATGGCTCTTCAGATGTAGATGATTCTCCCGAAAAAGACGACTCCTTGTTCGACTTCCATGCACCAATAATCCCCAAACATCAGGAGGCCACTGTCCCAATCGTAGTCGAAGCCTAGTTGGCGCGCTTTAGCGACGGTTCTTTCCAGCTTCTGAAACTTTCTGTAATACTGGGATGAAGAAGAGGCCATGCTGATATCGATTGAGGGCCTCTGAAGAGCCTAGTTGATTGTCGCATAAGACTGGGAGTCGGTAAGTGAGTGTCACGAAACTAAGCCCAACGCGGTTCTCAAGAACTCAGTCGGTAGGGGTTTTGGTCTCCACATTTAAGGTCTACCACGTGGTGATTTGACAGGGGCTTTCAGAAGCGTTTCTCGACTTGATCTCGACTTACTCACTTTCAGTACTTTTGCCCTGGCCGCCTTACTTTCTGAATAATGCCTACTGCTTATTGAGCCAATTCTTTTATGAGAATTCTTCTCAACTTATTACTTATGAATTTGTAATCAAACATCGGGTTTCAACACTTGTTTTCCTCCTCGAAGCCCCGTTGAAGAAGTCAAAGTGTCCGCAGTGCTCGAACACGAGTACCTTGACTATGCATGCACGATAGAAGCCATTCCAGACTTCAGACGGCCCAATCCAGCTACTTTGGACGGAAAAGAAAAGCCAATTAAAATCTGTGTAAGTTTCATGATCATTGGTTTAACATGACGGCAAAGTCACATCTCGGGTGTTGGAACATTGTGGCAATCAACGCTACAGTCGCAGGGACATTTTCTGTTCCTCCAGTCGGTGCCGACCAGGATACAAGGTTGCGAAACTGGGTTCCTCTCTCAACCAGCCCGCATCAGCGGATCTGAGATCACGGCTTGGTGGCAGAGTGGTCTAATGCGCAAGACTAGAAATCTTGTTCCTTCGGGAGCGTCTGTTCGAATCAGGCCCAAGTCGATTTTTGCCATTCCTAGCAATCAACTTGGCTTGGATTTGCGAGAAGAAGTGGTAGCAACCTTTAATTTTACTCACAAGTGCTCCGACACTCATATTTCAGTCATTCGGAGCATCCATTGCAGAGGGCAACGCCATTCAACCGGTTTCATTATTCATACAAAAGCATCGCTGGAGAAAGATCTAGAGTTTCCATGACGGCCCAACAGAAGTAATCTCATCATAAAGTAGTCTAGAAATGGAGCTGTTAGCGTTGAACGGCATTCATACAGAAGCAGTAGTAACTCACGTCGTCAGGAAGTCGGCGTAGTCCTCGCCCGTAACTTGCGGCCGCAGGTATTTCGCCGCCAGCTCGAACTTGTTGTTCGCCGGCGCAGACTTGAGCAGCTCCTTTGTGACCTCGTCGAGGATGTTGAGCATTGTTGTCTTGTCGAGTTTTGTGCCTTCAGCGGTGCTGACGCCGTGGTGTACCCAGTACCACAGTTGTGAGCGCGATACCTCAGCTGTTGCGGCGTCCTCCTGCAAGTCCGGTTAGTTATGCCCCAAGAGAGGCCGAAAGCAGCAGTTGAAACGTACCATGAGATAGTTGATAGCACTGCAGCCCACACCACGAAGCCAACCCTCCATGTACGCCAGAGTGATATGCAGATTCTTCCTCACACCCTCGTCGGTAATTTTTCCGGGAACAACAGAGTTGATCAAATCGTCGCGCGTGACCTTCACCTCGGGCCTCTTGAAGATCTGGTTCGCGGTAGGCATATGCTCGTTGAAAATCTCCGACGCAATCGACGCAAGCGCCGGGTGCGCAACCCAGGTACCGTCGTGTCCGGCCTTGACCTCGCGCAGCTTGTCGGCGCGCACGCTGTCCATCGCTTGGGCGTTCGCGGCCGGATCGTCCTTGCGCGGGATGAGGGCCGCCATGCCGCCCATTGCGTGGACGCCGCGGGCGTGGCATGTGCTGATGAGGAGCTTGACGTAGGCGTCCATGAAGGGGACGGTCATGCTTACGTCGGAGCGGTCGGGGAGAACGAAGCCGGGGCGGTTGCGGAAGCGCTTGACAAAAGTGAAGATGTAGTCCCATCTGCCGCAGTTGAGGCCTGAGCTATGATCTCTGAGCTCGTAGATGATCTTAGAGCATGTTAGTGAAGGGACTGATTCTTGCAATGATTGAGTGATACGAACCTCGTCCATTTCGAAAACAGCGCTGATGGTCTCGATCAACACGGTAGCGCGGATGGTACCTCGTGAGATACCGATGTAGTCCTGCGACATGTTGAACACGTCGTTCCATAACCTCGCCTCGAGATGCGACTCCATCTTGGGCAGGTAGAAATAGGGGCCGGCGCCGCGGGAAATCAACTCTTTGGCGTTATGGAAAAAGTACAGTCCAAAATCAAACAGGGCGCCGGACATGGGCTGCCCGTCGACGGTGAAATGTTTCTCGTCCAGGTGCCATCCGCGCGTGCGGGCGATCAAAGTCGGAAGTGTGCGATCAGTTCTGAGCTTGTACTCTTTTTCGCCGAGCTTGAAGTCAACTTGCCGGCGGATGGCGTCGTAGAGATTGGCCTGGCCCTGAATCATGTTGTCCCATGTAGGACCGTTTGAGTCTGATCGGTGTAAGTCAAAATACAACTGACTGTTTCAAGGGCTTCCTATCTCACCTTCAAAATCAGCCATGTAGGCCCAAACATCAGAGTTGAGCGCGTTGACAACCATTTTCCTGTCCGTGGGTCCGGTAATTTCAACTCTGCGATCTACCAAACCAGGCGCTGGCTGGGCGCCTCTCCAGTTCTTATCATCGCGAACGTGCTTAGTCTCAGGGAGGAAATCTGGCAGGTGTCCGTTATCTGTGTCGATTTGACGTTGTTGGCGGAGCTTGAGAAGGTGTTGGCGAGTCGGCTCGAAACTGCGGTGCAGGATTGCGAGAAAGTTGACGGCTTCCTTGGTGAGGATCCGGCGAGAAGCTTCGTTGCCGGCGCCAAGGATGGAGACACTGTCTGATATTGATTGAACCATTGTGAAATTTCGACGTGGATATTTGAATACAGATCTATTCAACGTTTGATTTTAACTTCATAATACGGCTCTATAGTCACTCGTGATATCGAAGAGGCTATCGCCAGATATTAAGTACTCTTCTCACGGTTAATGGCGCATCATTGAAAGCTCGGCTCTATTCCGATGGTGTTCTGAATCATTGCGGAATTTGGTGAAGATTCTCGGCTCGGTACCCGAACCGGAGGCGGCCGTCATCCGATTGGCCCCACTCGCCCAGATCGTCCACCACGGTCGAACGGAGACGTTACACTTCGGACACTGTCTCAATGCAGAGGCAATTCATACGTCACTGGCGAACGATAATTCCCGAGTTATTTGCGTTGATTGATAATGTTTCGATTCCATTTAACATTATTTGTAGCGACTATGAACCATACCCTCCCGGTGCCATCATTTTTTCCAGCTCAGCCCAATCCAGCTGGTCAACTCCCGTTAAGGGGAGAGTAGGGTCGTTGAAACTATTATAGATACCCTCCGCCGCTTCCAGCCCAAAGGCTTGTTCCAGATTCTCATCCAAGTTCAGACCGAACAACGTGTCTGATCCATAGGTGTCAGCAGGTCCTCCAAACATTTCTCCCTCCCAAGACGGCACAGAGGAACTGGGCGTCGGCGTAGTCAAGGGCATCTGGGCTGGTGAAGGTCCCGATTGCTCCGGTAGTCCGGCTCCGGGTGTGTTCCCCACCTGGGGTACCCCATGGGACGCCCCGGAATCTCCCATCTGCACGTCATGGTCCTTATCGAACGCTACCACATTGGCCCACACGTGTGCAGAAAACTGCCGAACATCCTTGAGGCGCTGCGCTGCCGCCTGATTTCCTGCAGAAGACAGATACTCCAAGAAATCAATGGCCTGGAACAGTTCTTGCGGTGGCGGCTTTTGACTATCCTGCTTGTGTGCGAAGCCGCGCATGATTAGGACGAAGGCGGCTGAAAAGGCAGCATCCAGATCGAAGAATGCAAATGGCGCTTCCCTTTGTTAGTAATTCGCTCTTCAAATTTGCCACCCGGGGAGAATCAAGCCCTTACCAATTTCTTCTTGCCTTTGCATAGCCATGAGGATGCGGATAATTCTCAGAGCCGACTCGTTGCACAGAAGGCACAGTTGAGAGATTGCCGAGGTCACAGCCTGCTTCTGTGTTTTCTGAACCTTGTCTTTGACCTTTTGGAGAAGAATTGGTCTGATGCAGAGAATGATGGACTAATTTGGGTTGTATTAGCACCCGTTTGCCTCGATAAAGCCACAAGATTTGCCCATTGAGACACGGCAGTTGGTGCTTACCTGGAATAACCTCAGATATAGTGATGCACCAGCTCTGGTGACCTCAAACTGTTTGTTGCTGAAGTCAATGGCAAGATCTGCCGGGATAGATCCGCCAATGTCGTGTAGTGATTGGAGCAAGTTTCTCATCTTCCTGACGAGATCGGCTTGCGATAGTGCGCCTCGACTATATAATGCTATTGATCACGATGATCAGCTGTGGGCCATACGAGTAACAACCAAAACGGACATGTTGTGAAGTCAACTTACATGACATGATCTCTCCCGTTGTCCGGGCAATCTTGACGTTGACATTGAGAGGCTCTGGAGAATCAAACCCTGGAGAGGGGCCAGGGAGATCGAACGAAAGGTGCCTATCATCAACGGAAGCTGGACGCCCGAGGCCTGCCGATATGCGCCTAGTTGTGCATAGACGATTAGCTTAGAAGCCTTGGTGGATTAGGGTGGTAGGCTTACTGATCCAGCATGTAGACAGTCCACCACACCCGCATTCTGTGTGCTCTCTCTGATGGTAGGCACTTTTGCTCTGAAAATGGCAAGTTGCAACCCAGAGTCAGGGCAAGTCTGACTGTTGTTCCCACCTATAGCTTGTTAGTATTTCATCTCATCCAGCATGAAAGAATCGGGACTCACGAAAAAGTATGCATCATTTTTCCGGTCGTTCCACTGCAGATATGTCGTCGCCAGACATAGAATCTCAAGCCCAACTATGCCATACTCGCTGATGCTGTGAAGTGGCGGGAGCCGCCTCATGGCCTCAGCAAACCAGAACGCTCCCGGGGGTCCGCGAACCTCGCGCGGATCCTCCTCCATCAGTTTGCCCATGGCCATGACGAGAAGGTACAATGTGAACCAGGGCGTGTCCATCTGCCGAGCTCGAGATGCTTGGCTGTTGAAAAGCAGCGTCATGTTGTCTGTGAATGTCCGCTGGTCTAAGAAGTGCTGTGTGACACCCATGTAGGAGTTGAAGAGGTTCAGAAGACGATTAGACTCGGCCTCTTTGGGGAAGGCCTGGTGAGGGATGCCCTTGATCAACTCATTTGTTGAAGTCCATTCAGGGGTAAATGGCAGGTCACGCGGATCCTCGTTCTCCAGGTGTTCCGGAGCATCCTTCTCCGGAGAGTCTGGGTCTTTGCCATTGTTCTCGTGGAAGAGACTCCGCAACCGTTGCTCGAAGAGCGGGCCGGGAGCACGTTCTATGGATGCTGTTGCTTTCGCTTCAGTTTTGGTTCAGGATCCAATTGCAGTCTGGGTGAGATCTACGCACCATAACTCGGAGGCGGTACCTCACCAGTAGGCTCAAAGGGCGCAATGCCTGGTGGACTCGGATTTGATGCCCCTGTTGAGACCCCCCGGGCGGGTGGCGAAGGTTGTGCTCGTGGTTGTCTGGCGAGCTCTGCTTGATATTAGACCGGGTTCTTCCTACCGCAAGCAGTTGCCTACAATTGCCTGAAAGGGATCAGCCGTGATAACTTACCCTTTATTTGGTCCTCATATCGGGTCAAGGTGGCTCTCAATTCCGAGACGTATCTGTTCACTGGCTTAGCAAGTTGGAGAAGTCCGACCTCGGAGCAGACTCACGCCTCTGAATATCTCTTTCTCCCATCGCCAAATTCACAGTCTAGGTTGTTTCGTGCACAATTCCTGCAAGGCTGCTCTCCCGAACACTTGACCTTGCGCCTACGGCATGTGTTGCATCTAAGCCGGCAGTCAGCATGGCAAACACGTCACAGCGGTGGAGTTTGGTGGGGGTGAATGAAGGGCGGGCGAATTGAGGGTGGTGGTGACTGACGCGTTCGCGGACCGTGCTTTGGCGGCAGCTTGCTGAGGCATCGCGCCTTCTTCCTCGACCTCGTCTTTGATGCGTCTTTTCCTCTTCCGGCTCGAAGAAGAGGCTCCTGACACCTTGTGAGACTGCTGCCCGTTCAGTTCACCGGTAAGTTTGCAAAGTCTTCATGTGATGGAGGTCGCTGCGGCAATTGGAAGTGTGGGGCTGATAAGAGCCGAACTTGCCTTGGATGAGGGGTCTGGGGTCGGCGATAACGACCCCCGGTAGCTGCTACTCGACATTTTACTATGCGGTTCGGTAACCCGGTTACTGCAAGTCATGTATGTATGCCACTTGATGCAGCAACTGAGTTCAAGATTGAGCGCTGGAGAATGATGCGATGATCTTGTCAAGAATCTTCAACAAAGTACTGTATTATTTGTGTAGCTTCCCAAAAGGATAGTGTACTGAATGGAATGTTTGGAGCACTTGGCTTGTCAAAAAGAAAGATCCGCGACGTAACATGGCACAGAGGCGGCAAGACTGTCTTAATCACAACATTCGCCCTTCGGCAGCCATCCGATCCGCTTGTAGCCAGGACCCACCATCGGCTTCCAGCTCCGAACATCGCTGATAAGACGCACCAGCCAATAAGGTAGGCTGGAAGAGAGCTTGAACAAAAAATGCCGTTCTGAAGGACACTCGACCTTAGTCCTGATTTCTTACGACGCGGGATGCCCTTTTTATAGATGAGATAGATCAAGGGCAGAGAAGCCGAAATGATTGAACGTCGGTTCCCTTCCGAGAGACAGACTGCCGGTCTTGGCCGATGTCCGACACTGTCTTGTGGGGATAGCCGGAGATCTCCTTTACCAAAGTTGTCATGGTATTGATCAATCTACCAAATCGCAAATAAAACACGACGTTCTCCCTCGTATGGTTCATATTCCCGACTATCTTTGCTCTATGTGGTCTCAATGGCAAGCAACTGCTGTGCACAGATTTTGCTCACTCTACTATGCTCGGCCTATTCGAGACATTCGGCCAGGGAATAGGTATCTTTGGTGTTGCCTTTATGTTCGCTTGTCATAGCGCACCTACCGGCCTAAGTGGAAACCAACCGTGAGTGACGCAAGTAGAATATCTAGTCTTATGTTTGCAGATTCGAGAGGTATCCTGCACTCCACGTGTCGATTACTAACGTAGAGGTAGATGTCGCAAACCTCACTGCAAGCACGGAGGATTGCAATCCCAAGTCAATCACATCTATCACTTGCAGGTCATGATGATACAGCTTGAACTTTTCGTCGGCGTTTTGTAGTCGAAGCCATACGCACGTAAATCACAGAGCTACATGACGTAACTCCCAAGTTCACAATATGAACTTGAGTTGGGAAGACGAGCCCAGTAGTGACTTTGTCTGCCGCATTCAATTTCACTGAATCGCTTATGCAACGTCTCAGGTCCAATAACGAGGATGAACTCGGCATAGCCTGAGGCTACACTGTTGTTAAGCAACAAGACGACTCATGGGCACCGAACTTACGTACTCATCAATCTGTATCCAGTCCGGGCTGATCCCAAAAGCCATTGAGGCCGGCAAACACTGCACTAATATTCTGAGTGAAGTTCCGCATTTTCTTCAGGCCCGTATCAAAGCCATTGTTGTATCATTGAATGCCACTGGCCGCAATCTCTTACCCCGAGGCTTGACAGAGGTCCAACAACGCTTTTGTGCTGTACGTCACCCTAGCCATCATATCTCACTGAGACTAAGGTAATAACTATAAGGGGACATGTTCGCTGGACTGTCTTATTATGAACAGCTCATCGAAGTTGACTCTCGGCATCGGATCATCTGCCAATGGAGTAAGATGACGCTGAAAACAGCCTATTGGTATGAAAGTAGATCTGGTCAGCTACACAACGTCACTGTGTCATTTGACTTGACACTTGACACATATCTGTTGAATATGGCCATTCATCATGCATTTACGTGATGCATATGGGTCTTACTGGCCCGTGATTAGACGGCTTCAGGGAAGAAGTAAGCAATCCTGACAGGTTTCCTGTTATGCAAGTGTCGAACAATACGCCAACTGAAAAACATGTTATTAACTCTCCTTGAAAAGTAATTGCAGGCGGCTTGATATCAAGTGATCAAGAATCCTACCGGGTATGCCGTAGGGCCTTTGGTTGACAAAAGTTCTCAAAGGAACATCGTATGCAGCCCTCGAATAAAATGCCGAGTGTCTCATGCCTAATGCAGAAGGAGGCGTAATTGGTACGCTAATCACCACTTCGCGGGGTGTGTGGACTGCTAATGGTTCTGGAGCTAATGATAGGCTGACGTGAGATGAAAGGAGTCTGAATCCTGTGAGATCATTGAGACACCTGCCAGGAATGCATAATTATAAGAAGATGCCAACACATCAGTGATATTCGAAGGCACTCGCAGGTGATTCTCCTTCACTTTTCCACTCTCAGTTCAACGCAAATCGCTGTACCGAGTCCTCAAATATGGCATTCCGAAAAAAAGTCGAGGCGACCATCAAGTCCTTCTTCGAGGCATACACAGACGGCGAAAAGCATAATGACGCCTCAATCATCAACCGCGAGGTCAGCCCAGACTGCACCCGCCAACTGCTCCCCCGTTCCATGACCAAAGCATTTGGTATACCGGGCGATTTCATCCTCGACAACGCGGCCTACCAAACACAGTTCGCCAAGGATATCGCCGTCTTCAAAGTCGGGGCCACTACTACTTCGAACCTCGTCGTCGACTCCGAAGCTCGAAAGGCGGCACTTACGTCCTCTTCGGATATTAAGTTCAAAGACGGCTCGGAGAATCTTCAATTGGAATTCAGTTGGTTCTTTGACTTCAACGAGGACGGTTCCAAGGTCACGAAGGTTATCGAGTTCTGCGACAAGGATTCAGTGATGCTCATGCATAGCAAGGTCAGTGCGAACGAATCGCACGTCCTAGATGCTAAGGCGTGATGAGGTTTCTGTACGGCTAGCTAGATCGTTGTAGAGTCATCTCTTGGTAGGAGCTTCCATGCCATATCTCCATCATGAATTCTTGATATCATTGCACTCCATACCTCAATTACTTGACATGCCCGCATCGTGTCCTCAAACCGAGCCCTAGAACAGGATCAGGTATACCTAACAAGTCACTCATTCGCATTTTCTCTGGGCGAATGGGTTCCATCGGTCTTGACCTCTTGCGCGAACCGGATGACGCCTGTCCTATCGGCCTTGAGCTGAACCGGAACATCTCCGACCAGTCTCTTGAGGCCGCCAGGCTCAACTATGCCGCCGGCTGCTTTCTCTCTGATTTCATCGTCCATGTTCATGCATACTGGCAAAAGTACGTCGGACTTCCATGGCAGCAGCCCTTTCCTTTTCGTTCGCAGAACCTCAACTACGAGATAAATCACCGACACAGCGACCAGGGCGACAGAGTATACGATCCAAGCCCAGCGCACTACAATGACAACCTGGGTAGCCATCACGGTACCTCTGAAAGCGTCGTTGCCTGTAGTGTCGTTACTGTTCAGGCGTACGTCGTTGGTCAAGCTTCTTGTAAGTCTCTCCATCCAGCTGCCGACGTCCCCGAAACTGGCGTGCATTCCGTCCGCAAAGGGAGACGCCGAGGTGAAGACAATCCCCAAAGTCCCATCGGCGCTGACGTTTCCTATAATGTTTGTCTTTGCGTATGCTTTCATGGCGTACATCTGAAATGGACCCATTCCGTAGCTTTTGCCTGCCTCGGTATTGAAGTTGGCCGGGATGTTCACGAATGTGACATTTCTCCCGGTGGAAGTCGAGCCTTCATCCACCTCACTCCAGGTATCGACAATCTCGTCCTTCAGCTGTCCAGATTCTACGCTGATATTCCTCGCCTGGAGGCAATACCACAGAGCACACTCAGCCGCGTGGGAGTCATCAAGTGGGGTCGTCGCCGGCATCCCGCCAGGAATACCGAGACCGCTGAATTGCGCAATCAGATTGGGCGCGTCCGCCTTGATCATTCGAGGATCTGTGGATTCGAAGGTGCGGTTCGAGCCAGTGCTGATGTTGAACACGGGCATCCAGTCGGATCCTGTGCCGCAGTAACCACTAAGACGCGCACCGTCAGGCGCAGTCACAACGCAACTCGCAGAAGAGCTTCGGTTCATTTTGATCTCCGATGTTAGGTCGACACAGGAGCCGCAGACACCGACGGTCGGAACGATGGGCCAAGTGCAGTTACCAGTGGGGCAGGTCACTTGCGGCAAGTTGACTTCCGTAGACATGAATCCGGTGTACATGGCAAGTTTCGTGGGTGATAGGGGGTTCCCTGGGAAAAAATAAAGTGTTATGATCATGCGACGAACAGAAGAGTTGCGTCTCCAACTCTAGAAGAGAGCGACTTACAAGAGTTTGAGTATCCCGACACCGTGCTTGCCCATTGACTTCTGGCAACGGTACCTGCTTCGCCTTGCGTGTTGCTCATAACCTGGTCTATCCTCAAAGTGATCAGTTGCTGGGAGAAGAAGCCCAAAGCAAGGGACAACATTGTCAACACAGCTCCAACGCAAGCAATGTGCCTAAAATCCTTGTCAGCATTGGTAGATTTCTGGTGTAATTAATACGATTCAAGACCTACGCTCCCTTGAACCTCCACATCAACTGCAAGCTACCCCATGAACCTCTCGAGGCGTCGTCGATCAACGTAAAGTCATCCAGTCTATGGTATCCACCCTTCTTTCCAGAGAAATGATTCCATTTCGCCTGGCTGAGAATGGAACCCACAGCAATCATGAAGGTCGCGCGGCAGACGGTAGACAGAATCGCGATCAGACCGTTGAGGGTCAGGATCGTGCTTGGCCATGCATCTTGCGGCTTGCCATCGTACTGCCACAGGACGATTGCCTGAGCGACGAGACTTGCAACGGCGAGAAAACAACATCCTATTTCCATGTACCACCATCTCAAAGTCGAGTATGTGTCAGGCTCCCCCACGCTGTCAAGGGTGTTCTCTCTGGCTGGCAAAATGTCATAATCACCCAGATGAGAT